GTATATTCTCCAACAGCTGTGAATAATGACGAACAAGAATAACAATTAAAGACATAAAGTTTAGTCAGTAGAAAAAAAAATTAGACACAAATATTAATAATAGAAGACAAGACTAGGTTTTTTAGCTGTAGTTTTTACTTCGTTTCAATTTGTATAAATAGGCATATTTTTGAACTTATAAAATTTTCTCATGTGAATTATACAATTTCTTGTATTCTTATAGTTCTTTGTTTTCCTTCCAAGTCAAAAAAAAATCAGGCGTCAGATCGTACAAGGCTTTGTAAGATCTTATGCATACAAGATTTTTTTATATGATCTTACGATAAGATCAACCAAGATCGTACGCTAAATATAAATGCAAGACTTCGAATGATTCTTAATATAAGATAAAGCCAAAAATCTTGCAAGAAACTCAATGCACGAAATTTACAAGAAGAGATATATTACAGTACCACCCTGATCATATAGGATCAGATAAGTTCCATCACGAATGAAACATATATGATTTTCAAAATACGAATCCTACATGATTGTATAAGATCAAATGCGAAAGTCCCGAGATCAAACAATCAGAGGGTAAGATCTTACAAGATCATACCTCTGATATTGTATGATCTTGTAAGATGATAATCGTACAAAAAATCGAAGTCTCAGAACTCTTACATCAGATCGTACTTTAAGATTCTTGAAAAATCTTGCTGTTCTGTAAAGTCTTACTATAAGATTGTAGAAAATCTTGAGGATGTGAGTGTCGGTCGTTTCTTCACTTAATCACACCAATATCCACCCACACTCACACCCTAAAGAAGGTTAATCAATATTGATCAACTGACTTATCTACAACATTTACTTGTTTTTCATCTGTTCTGTTTTTAATAAATAAATTTTATCCAAGTTAAACTTTTTATATTTTTATATACTCACTAAAAAGAAAACATGCTGAAGACTTCATCGACATTTTTATTCTTCGATACTTTTATATTTCGACATTTTGACTGTCGACTAAAGTTGAGATTACCAAATCGTCTATCCAACACATCTAGATAGATCTCAATGATTGGTTGTTGATTTATTTCAATGATAAGGAAAGTACCTGAAAACAAAATTCATCGTTTTTTTTAGATAATCATCGCAAACTACAATGCAGCAACGCCACCATAAGTGGCTAAAACAAACACATAATTTTTGTTTTGACCAACAGCTAAGTGTACATGTGACAAATATGTATAATCGAGAAATGAAAATTGATCGATTTTAACTTCTGGATACGAACATTGACAGGATGCATGATTGAATCCTTTTGTTACCTCTGCCAATTTTTCAATATTAACACGATAGTATGTAATAGGATTTCCTCGTGATACTGAACGTTGAAGGGTTCTAAGGCAACTGTATAAAAGCGAATCACGATCAGTAGAATTTGATTTCCCATCTGACAGCTGTTCAACAGCCAATCGGTGTGTATCAAAATCGAATATAAGATGATTATAGTAGACAATCAAATTTTCAATTTCGTTCATATCTGAATGAATACCTACTGAACAGCGACATATTCTATTGATGACATGATCTTCTGCTAATAAAATTCGTAAGAGACTTGTGCCCGATTTTTGCTCTGTCTGTCTTAATAAATTTTGACAATAACCCATAATATCATCTCTTGAGCAATCTGTCCTATTCATCCAAGCATAACTATCTTCTTCAATAATTGAATTTTCATCTACCAGCTTTTTCTCTCGATCGTACAAAGCATGAATTCTCTGATAGTGCAATATACAAGATTTATCTAACTTATCAGTACCATAAGAGTCACTTCTTTCAGAATTCGACGAATCAGAAATGTGCATTTTGAAATGAAATTGTGATAAAAGATCTTGTCCAATAAATTGAGATTGATGACGATTTATCATATAGGTACGATCAACACTATAATCTAAGTCAATCTTTGGCTGCCGTTTTGATTCATCCTTTTGTGCTACTCGATAGAGAGAACCATAACAATTACGATTGTAAAATGCATCTGCCAATATTCTCTCCATCTTGACTTCACATACTTCCTGTGTATTTCTGTCATATCGAACAGTGTACGTGGTTGAATCGTCCCGATGTCCTAATAGGAAGAAAGCATAGACGGCGACCACTCGACAACATCCTTCGATATGTTGATAGAAAAAGTCATCATCAGAAAATCGAAATAGAGTTCGGCTACCATATTTAGTATGAATAGTTGGAATAAATTTTTGAAGGTGGTCATCTTTTTCGAAATTTTTTCTCATTTGAGCATCCCAAGCAATTTTCAATAACTGAAATTGTGGAAATGCAAATATTAAATGTTGCACATCTTGTTCATGCAAATATTTGAAAATATGAAGCCACATCTCAGAAGGGAGTTTGTCAATCAATGGTTTTTTGTCCTCTTGATGGATGATTTGCGCTCTCGATTTTTGTTCGAGTAGTCGTGGATAACTATATCGAATCGATAGTGAACGTTCGTATAATTCACTGATTTCACTTGTTTTAACGAACTCACTACAGTTTTCATATGTTTTCAATTCATTTTGTTGAGCTTCACGAAAAAAATTCAGACAAGCAACATAATCTTCTTGTTCTTCTGGGCAAATAGCAAATCCGAGTGGTTTTCCTTTTCTCTGTACGAGTACATCAGTTCTCAAGACGATACGTTCCGTTAAATTGAGAGAATTTTCCATCTGTGGTGCCATGGCCGCGTGTAAGAGATTATGTGTAAAAAGAACAGCATAACCTTTCTTTGGTTTAATCGACACACATTCATATCCATTTTCCAATCCACCATAAGCTTGGATTTCTTCCTCAATTGTTAATCCTTTCATATTGAATTTTGGTGCTGCTTTGGGAAAATAAAACTTCGTCTCACCTTTTTCATAATTGTCATTCAAATAGATTATTAAACTCAATAATGATCGTTCATCTCCGCTTGGAGCATATTGTGCATCTTTATGAGGTGCAAAATGTTCATCATGACGGTATTTATTCAATCGCATGGCTTTATTCACACCACTAATCTCCCAATCGCCTTGCACATTAAATCCTAATGGTTTTCTATTAGAAACTAATTTAGTTATTTTGTTGCTAAATTTTAGACGTTGCCAAAGTGTTTGAGCGAATTGATCATCCATGACGACTAATCGAGAATTATTGCGTTTTTGAACATCATACTTATCTGACATATTTTCGAATTTTTCTTTACTAATATTAGTCAGAATTTCATCGCATTCGTGGTTGCTCAATAAAGTACCCAATTCAATTAAAATTAAATCATCTTGCTCTTTCACTCGGTTCAATACAATGCCATCGGCTAGTTTTATTGGTATTGAATAATTACTTAACAACGATGTAACAGTATTCCAATCTGTAGTTCCCAGAAATCGATTTCGATACATTTCGAAAATGATGCTCAATTGGACTTTGTTGCTGTTTGTTTTTGCTTTCTTTTTGTCAACTATTCTCCACGTGTTGTAACTCAACTAGCTAATGTTTTTTATGCTGAATGCAATTGTAATTACTCAATATTGATGCAATGCAGCTGTAATTTCTTAATATCTATGACATTCAATGGTTTATTTTTCTGGCACAAAATGTATTGCTATGCGTTTTTTTGCAAGAAACATTTTGAGGCTGTGTATGGTATATTTACTTTTTTTAATGTTCACTAATTACCATAGTTAGTCCACACGTTGAATCACATATTTAGGATATAGGTTGTAGAACTCAAGCTCAACATCAAAGATGCTTTAAAGTCATTTTTTCCATTTAAGCGATGAGTATAACTATGAAAGTAAAACGTTAAGATTGCAATTTTCTTGAGATAAAAAAAACTTATTTCTTGTTCTCATTTGGGTCGTAAAACTGTGTTTCAGAGAATGATCGAGAAACGAACTTCCGAGAGAATTGACGTGCGTAGAACACCTCAAATTCAGTTTGAAAAACTACTTTCACAACTAGTCAAGATTGAAAAGTACAACTACTCAATCGGCATCGAATCCAAGACTGTGGCTTTCACATTCACGAAGCTATACGAATATAATTCTTTATCTCAAGTGTTCTAAGACAGCAACTAGAGAGGTCTGAGTCTATTATCATTTGTGAATATCTATAATATGTCGGTCCAAGATCATTTTTAGGATTAGAGGTTCTATTAAACATGATGTCGAAATCTTCGATAAATGAATAGTGCTATGAATTACATAGTGACATATTCTGTCGCTACAGCTTGCCATCAGTGCATGATGATATTTGGGTCGACTAAATTTTAAATATTGTTCTCAAAAAAGGTTTTGCACTAGGAAAAGCGTTCTAAGATCATTTAAAGTCGTTGCGAAGGTAGGATAGAGTTCGCATACTTATGAGACCACACAGAAACTGAGCAGTATAAAGCGAATCATGGCACATTGGTTGTTGCACTCTTTGACTGATTGAATATTTGCTATTATGCCACAGGTTGTGTTTTTGGTGTATCTTGTCACTATTTTCTCTAATTCAACAAGATTCATTTTGAAGACTGGCCCTCTATCAACACTAACAATAATCAAAAACATCTTCAGCTCATTCAAGCAAAACTTGTGATAGTATTTCATCGTCTGGATTGTATTCCTAAGGTATAGATATGAGCTGATTTCTCCATACAAAACAACTGATTAAAAATAATGATTGTAACAGAAAATCAAACCAATTTCCAAGGTGTTGATCTGTACGAAGGCAAATTCAAAAAAAATCAGCAAGAGTTCCATACCATTCGACAGTGTGAATGGCTATGCTGTGACATATTCGGTGCTTATATGAAAATGAATGCTGAGGACATTATTGTGCAGAGTTAGAAGCAAGTTTATTTATTCATATGTTGATATATCTCCCAGATATTTTGAACATGTGATGAAGAACTGAGATAAACTTGAACAAATCTTGAACTTTTAAAGTACTTCAAACGAGTGGGTGAAATGAATGCTCATCTATCGCCTACCCTAAAATCTATTCACCCATAAGATAAGTGCATAATTGTCTTTTTTTATTGGCGAAAAACTGAAAATAAAGTACTTAAACTTGATGACATCATGTTAGCCAGATCTTGCACAGAAGATCGAAGTTCAATTTCTACCGAACGTGGAGGGATAAACTGAACATTGCTAACAATAAAAAATACTCCAGGCAACAATAGTACTTCTTCTTCTTCTGGTATCAGGGAATAATTACTTATGTCTATCGCATATAATGCACTATACGACTCTACTATGTATGTGAACATAGCAGACAGCATTTCCGCTGGCGGATCACGAACACGGTCTATAAAACCTTGAGCAACAGTACGAAGTTTTGATGTGGATGTAATTGCTTTATTACATACGAATTTTGTGTTTTCCACGTAACATTTTAATTCATCGAGTGAAATCCACATACCTCGAAATGTCGATCCCTGAAATCGAATGCTCGAGTTTGGTGTCACAAGCAGCATATAAAGCGGTCGTAAGAACAATTTGGCCCAATTCGACTCGTTTCTATTTTGAATCGGCAATGGTTGTCCTGCTTGAAGTGCTTGAGTACGAGAGACTATTTGGTTCAAATTTTGAAAAAGGGTTCCCATAAGTAGTTCTAGTTGCTCCTCCGCGTCCCGATCTTCGGTTTCTTTTAGATCTTGCTGAGCCAATTCGCGATTGAGTATCTTGTAGAAGTCACTTTCAGCAGTATAGGCTCGAATGAAATATGAAGCATCACCTGTTTTTACTGCTTCTTCAAGCAGCGACCACACATCTTGGTTTAGTATTTGAAGGTCTTGCGTCTTTTTCATAGCATCGACAACTTCCTGAATAGACATTGAACCAAGAGAAAAAAATTCCTGTTGAATCATCATGCAGTACTGCTGAGCGTCAAAATCTTTGAGTATCCATCGTATTTCTTCGCTACTGGGCTTTGCACTGAGACGAGGATTGGAAAAGCCGTTTAGTTGATCGCTCAATGTTACTAATTTTGGTTTTGGTTGAACCAGACATGTTATTGGATGTTTCTCTGGATCTTGGACAATCGGTAAAGTTGTATCATTGAAGGATGAACCATCATTGCCAATTTTTTCACTCTCTACTGTTGTATTTACACTTGCATCAACCTTTTGAGTGTCATCGGTTTGAGTCGATACTTCGAGACAATGTTTAACTTGAACTAATTCGCTTGGTTGTCCAGAGGCAGTAAGTGATTTAGACGACGTAGGACTTTTTGTGAGTGGCATTATAGCATTTGGCTGAGCAATCGTCAAAGGTTGTACACTAGCAGAACATCCCATATTTCGTCAACGAAGTTGATAAACCAGCGATAATATGTTGATAATTAAAATCTACCGTAATAGTTTTTCATCCAAATTGTTAAATGAATATAATTGAACAGTCGACAGATGCTTAACTACAAAAAAAATCGCTAGTATAATTAAAAGTATAGAAAGGTATTTATAATGAAAAAAAGAAGATATCGTTGAAACTGACAATTACATCGTGTGGTACCATTTTTGGCCTGACTAGGCATTCAAGTGCTACTATTGAGAATTTATAAATGTGGATGTAGATCAGCGAGAATCAGCAGGATATTCACATTTATGCCTACACCTTTCAGAATAAGAAAAAAGTATAAACTTCTTTGTGAAAAAACTGGAGTTAGTGTAAGTGATCGATTCTGCATCGAATTGGTAGAATTTCCCCTTCTAAAGTAAACTTCTTATGATCGAACCCAGCCTGATCAAATGAGAATAATTTACAGACTGCTTTTGATAGGATCTTTGCATAGTAAGCAATTACTATGCACTGATAATCAGAAGAGAACGAACAAGGTAAAGGTTAAAGTCTTTAACAAAAATTATTAAAAAGAGCAGAAAGAATGAATGAAATCTTTTCTCTTGAAAATCAGTTGCATGTTTTCTGAATTCTAGTAAAAGTACTTTGGATTTACTACTTCTACATCTCGACAAGAAAAATCATGGTAGCAGCATTTTTCTGCCCTTCTACATGGCGTTGCCATCTATTTTTCTCTTTTACGCGAAGAACAGCTTTTGTACTTACGTAAGCGACATTCACTCGGTTTCACCAATGCAGTCTCGTATGATTGATGAAAAATTATTTAGCTTCACATAGACAAAACAGAAATGTAACAATGGTTGTCACTTTATTTTACTTGTCTTCTGTGAGAAAAGAAAATTCATCGCTACAATCCGTTAATGACGGTCGTAAGCATCGTTAATGACTAATAATTCTCAGTATATGACCAGTTTTCTTCAACTTTCCTTTTGAAAAAAAAAGAAGAGAAAAGAGACTTCTTGTGTTTTAAAACAAGAGAAAGTTACTTTTACTTTAATTGCAAAAGATAATCTTACAGAAAAGTATAGCTTTAATTGGACTAAGTATCATCGTACATGTCACACTGTTACACAAATCAGCTCGATAGAATTCATCAAACTCAATGTGGACGAAGATGTATTAACTGGTTCCTGAATGATAAGATGAAGGTCATTATAGATTGATATTGATATTGTTTGCGTATCAGTATCGTTTATGTGATCGTTCCTTGTCCATATGAAGCTAGAATTTCTATGCACTTTGCTTTTGAAGTAAAAAGAAGTTGATTTCGTTTTGACATAAACGACAAATGTGTTTCGTTTTCTTTTTTGGGGCGAAAATGAAATATAGGAGACGTGCGCAACTATGACTATTCAAGCTGTAGTGAAAATTGAAAAAGAGAAATAAATTCCAATCAGTGAAAAAAAATGTCTTATTTCTTCCTTCATGACATCTTTCTATGTTGAAGCGAAATTCTGTCTCTAGAGCACACGTACACACACTATCATCTCTTGAACTCAGAATAGAGTCTGGATAAAAAATTACCTTTTGTTATATAAAAATTGTTCTATGGTGTAAAATTTCCTTTGGCCTTGTTTCTTTTCTTCACTGAGTTTTATGGCATAACGAAGAAAAAAAAAGTAAAATTCAACGGGTGAAAGTGAGTTACTTGAAATATATTGACAAAAAAAATCAGGAAAGTGTGTATACTTGTTTTTTTTCGCAGCTTTTTTTTTAACAAACCAGTAATCATCGCCTCCAACTGTAGATGCATACGTTGGCAAAGTTTGCCAATAATAACTATTACAAACTCTTGCGTTCTTTTATTTGTTCTTTGTGAGAGTGGGTTGAATGAGGGTTTGTGTATGTTATTCGATACCGTGTAGGTGTGTGTGTGTGTGTGAATAGTTGGCCACTGTAAAGAAAAAAAAACGTAGAATAATAAACCCAACATCAAATTTTCATGAATCCTTTCACTATACATGGTATTTTGATAAATAGTTTACGGTTGATGTCAGGGTGTAGATGTGACCTGGAAATGCAAAACTATGACTGAGTATAGTACACATACC